GGACCCCACTGACTGTGCTGACTGCAGAGCACTGAGGCTATCAGCACCTCTTTGGTTATGATGCATCTTCTCCGTGTATTTTACTTAACCCTGATGCAGCAATGAGCTTACAGGAGATCAGATTCCTGCTTTAACCTAATTTTCCAGCCAAGATGACCAGACATAATGGTTTTTCTTTCTTGTAAGGGAAGAAACAATGCACTGTACCTGTCCCTATACATCTAAGAGCTGGCATTTAAGAAACCTTCCTAAAAATTTTAATATAATGGAAAATGATTTAGGAAATTCAATATTGCTTAGTCAGATAGTACAGACCAGGGTATGAGAGCAGGAAAAAACCCAGCACATACCCCTGTACTTTCATCTCAGAGGGAAGCATAACAAAACAAACAAATGCTGCATTCCCAAGTGTCATTTTTTACCATCATTAAAACATATCCTTTTACCTCTCCAGGGACAGCAAAACAGCTGTCAGGCATCTACTCCAAACCCTCCCTTTCCCAGTGCACCTCAGCCCTCCTACTGTGCCCATCCTGCAAGGTTTGCTCAGGTTTTCCTCCTCACTCAATTGTACTTGTAAATCAAGTAAACTTTTCCATGGATTGCATGGTAACATATTCCACTGGTGTCTCTCTGTGCTCACTGCTGACCTTCATGGGACCCTGGATGAGCAGAAGACAGCAGCAAGGGAGGAATAACTGCAAGACAACATCCTGCAGAACTCACGGGGCTACCAGGCTGGCCTTAAACTCAAGAGATTCAAGGGAAGCTCAGTTTAAAAGACAACTTCTGCAGAGCTAAACAACTGTTCCAAACATGTGGCACCTGAACCTTATTACCACATTTCCAACTGATGAACACCCTGGAAGAATCATGAAACCATGGACTTACAACAGCCTAAAGCCTCTTCATGCAAGTCAAAAGCACTGTGGTGGTTTGGTGCTCCAAAACACCTCTTGTGCTCAGCAGGCCCAGAAGGAAAACATTCAGTTCCTGGCTGGAATTAAGGGAATTTACTTAATAAATGCAGGAGGAGCACAGACAGATAAGGACAAACAACCAACTGGACTCTGTCGGCTGCACATCCTGAAATTATGAAAATGATGTGGTACAAACAGGAAAATGTAACCAAGTTGCCCATGTTCAAAGTGTTAATTTTAAAGCTGTTCCAAATATCTCCAAAAACTTTTTGCAATGACACTGAATTATTTCAAGTTCTCAGACTCATCTAAGTTTTTTCTGCAAAAGCTCTCACATGAACACAGTGAAGTCTCAGAAGGAGAGAGTGACTGCCAAAGGGAAGTGCTGTTCCACATGAAGAAATTTCCTATTTCTAACATCCATAAAACCTCCATATGAAACCTTGGTTCATAAAAGTTAATGAGCTTGATCACAAGTCCTGCCCTGGCTCTGGAGATTGATGTGTTTGCATGACACAACACAACAGGATAGCTGTCCCCAGTCTCAGCACAGCCACGTGAACTCAGCATCCCAGAAGAGGGGAATCACCTCACTTCACCTACAGGGAGCTGTGTCACGTCTATCAAGTTGTGACTTACAATCCTCTCTATTTTTATGCAGAATGCTTAAAATGTGGGCAAGGAGCTCATCTGTGCTGCTTTATAAATATGCTTCAACCCTTATATGAAAGTATTCAGTACAGGAGAGTTGGTGCTCTGGAATATCAAGTCCTTGGCTTTTTTGTTGAAACTGCCAACCAAGGCCCATTTGGTACCAGTTATTTGCTTCCAGAGACACTTGTCCACCTGGTCCCCTCCTGAAAATCCCATTTCACACTGGCAACCACATGAATCTAAACTAGCAATCTGGGGACTGAAGTCCTGACACTACCTGCCACTACTTCTGCCTCAGTTTTCAGCTTTTTTAAAATGTGCTCAGGACAAACAAAGCTGCTTCACACCCACCCCGAGTATCAGAGCCACTCAGCCCTCAGGTCCTCTGAGAGACTGAAATGCTAATGAGGCAACAATCAGATTAATAATCAGATGTGAAACAAAGGTGTTTGTTTTCTCTAGAGAGAAACAATACTGGAAAGCAGAGAACCACAGAGCAGCTGGAATGAAGAGAACCACAGACCATTAACTGGCTGGTAACAAATGCCCCTGTTCTCCTGGATTCACTTCTCTACTGAAATGAGCCAAAAGCCACCCCAACAAAGAGTTTCCCCAAGTCAGGCTCAGCCTGTGATCCCAGCCCAGGTATGTGCACTCTAACAGTCAGACTCTGAAGTCCTGGGCAGAAAAGAACACTGAGCCAGACAAACCAAGGAAAAAAGAAACTAAGACAGTTATAATATTTTATCCATCTGCATCTGTTCCACAGGGGAACACTGCCTTAGCCTGACATGAGCAGGATACAAGAAGCTTCCTTTTGGATGCAGCAGAAAAAGCAGCATTGGAGTCAAAGGCTCCAGTTGTGTTTATACAACTGACGTTATCTCCCAACCTTCTTCTGTTTCAGCTGAGAGCAGAAGCAGAGCCTGCCTGCCAGGAAGGGACAGGAAGGATCACCTTCTCTCATCCCAGCTGCCTGGAATGAGGCAGGGCATGCAGATGCCAGATCATCCCAGGCTGAGGCACAGATCTTGCTGCAGCAGCAGGACACGAGGATGATGTTACTTCATGGGTCTGTGACTCCACCTGATGCCACAGGCAGGGCAGCAGGAGGCTGCACATCGCCACAGGAAAAAAAAAAAAATGGAACATTTTCAGTAAGAAAATTCTCCATCTTCCCGTGGCTGGGAAGTTGGCTGTGCTGCTGAGCCATTCCCTTGGGAGGGGTACAGCATGGCACACCCTCAAGGCTGGCATTAGCGCGGCTTTGTCACGATTACAGACAAACCCCCTCGGGAGGGCAGTGAAGCCGGGAGCTGCAGCGGCTCTGCCCGCCGGCCTCAGGCTCCGCCGGCAATTCCCGGACACGGCAGGCTCCGCTCCCCGCCACGGGAGGGGCGATCCGGCCACACCGGCAGCGATCGCTGTAGAGTGACCTGGCACAAAAGCATCCTCCTCAATCCGACAGCAGCACTCAAGCCTTGAAAAACGTGTGTCCCTCTGCAATCAGGCTCGCTGCAATGCTTCCCACGGTGAGTAAGGCCTTTGCAACTCTTCCCTGTAGCCCCCTGGCCAAGGACACATCACCTCTACCTTGACTTCCTCAATTAAAAAATATCCCCACAAAACAAGCACTCAGGAAGCGTTCCAGGCTATACAACCCAAAATATCCTTCCTACTAGAGACATTTTCACACACAAACTGAACTGGGTGAGTCAGCTCTCCTCAGAGAAAGATTGCAAGGAAGGGATGTGGGTGTTCCTTCTTGTGTCTCACTGGCTACAACAAAAGATATTGACAAATTGTGGGAGTTCAGAGGAGGAGCAAAAACGGTAAGGGGACAGAAGGGATTGAGCTAAAATGAGAACAGATGAAACATCTTTCAGACAGTAACTCGTATAACAGATCATGACAGCATGTACATGTTTAAATTTTATATAAAAATACCATGGAAGAAGGAGAATGATCTAATCTTGTTTATGGAAGGATAGCTCCAAGGGTAACAGGTTTTGCACTCTGAGGTATTTGGGGTAATGACCATCTTCTGCTGTTTGCCCCATGCCTGACTACTTGGAACTTCACTTGCTACCATAATCAAACAAATAACTATTTAAGAAAAAAAGAGAAGAAAATCTAGGCAACAGGCTCTGATGTGCAGCATGGCCTCCCAGGAACAGCAGCAGGAGCTCCTGTGTGTAGAATATACAAAAAACAATTACGGTTATGACTGATTCGTTCAGGAATCATATCCCTGTGTTCTGTACAGCCAGAGCCCAAATGACACGGACAGACACACACAGGCAGGGGCCACTCAGCAGCAGCTGGGCATCAACACACAACGGGGGTTTGTCCCCTCTAACCTTTAAAGTACCTTAGCCTGACAAACAGTAACTCGTATAACAGATCATGACAGCATGTACATGTTTAAATTTTATATAAAAATACCATGGAAGAAGGAGAATGATCTAATCTTGTTTATGGAAGGATAGCTCCAAGGGTAACAGGTTTTGCACTCTGAGGTATTTGGGGTAATGACCATCTTCTGCTGTTTGCCCCATGCCTGACTACTTGGAACTTCACTTGCTACCATAATCAAACAAATAACTATTTAGCAAAAAGAGAAGAAAATCTAGGCAACAGGCTCTGATGTGCAGCATGGCCTCCCAGGAACAGCAGCAGGAGCTCCTGTGTGTAGAATATACAAAAAACAATTACGGTTATGACTGATTCGTTCAGGAATCATATCCCTGTGTTCTGTACAGCCAGAGCCCAAATGACACGGACAGACACACACAGGCAGGGGCCACTCAGCAGCAGCTGGGCATCAACACACAAACGGGGGTTTGTCCCCTCTAACCTTTAAGGCACCTTAGCCTGACAAAGGGTTTTGATATATCGCAGCCTGTACAGAATGCACATCCACAACTACCCTGAAACTGCAGCCAGGCATAAAGCAGGATTTGTCTGCTAGAAAAATCACAGTTGTGTAACACATGAATACAATTAATTCATCTGGGATCCCCCCACGATCCCGAACCTCACGAACAGCACTCAGGCTGTGTACTCGACGGGCCACAGCCCAGGCAAGGGAAGAGACAGGAGGGACAGACACTTTATGGCAAGAAAAAGCGTCAGTCCCCTCAGCAGGTGCCGAGCAAGGCGAGCCGCAGAGCCCACACCTCCCACGGGGCCGGGCCGGCCCGACCCGCTGCCGCGCCCCACACCGAGCTGACCACCGGGGGATCCCCCGGGACAGCACATCCCCGGGCTGCTGACACCCCGTGTGAGGCGTGCCGAAACTCCGCCGCGCCGGGGGGCTGCGCCAGCCCGTCCCCAGGGCGCTGCTCCCGCCCGGCTGAGGGGGGCGGCGGGGCCGGGCGAGCGGAGGCTGCAGGGAGGCGCCGGGAGGGAGCTGCGGGGCGGGGAAGATGGCGGCGCCCGGCGCGGCGGGGCTGGGCCGGCGGCTGCGGGCCTGGCTGCCCCGGTGAGCGGGGAGAGGGACCGGGAGGGCTCCCCAAGGGCTGCTGCCCACCGCGGGAACACGGGCAGCACGGCAGGAGGCCTGCGGGCGGGCCGCCGGCAGCGGGGAGGGTGTGCGCCGCACCGGGGGCGCGCGGGCGGGCCGCCCGCCTGGTTCTGCCGGGCTCAGCGGGCACGGAGCTGTCAGGGCTGGACCTTTAAGGTCACCGAGCACGCAGCATTGCCGTTCTGATCTCTGAAGCGCATCGCCCAGGGGGTGCAGACAGAACAGCCCCAGGGATGGTGAGGGCCCTGCGCCGCCGCTGCCCGTGGCCACAGAACGGGGGAAAAGGGACGGAACCCGCTCTGAGCTGCTCGCCCCGCTGCCCGTGAGGCCTCCCGCGTCCAGCAGTCACATCTGGCCGCATCTGCCTGCGGCCCTGTCACGGCGCTGGGTTACAGCCCCGCTTCTCTTGCTCCCTGCAGGATAATGCCCGTGAGATGGAGCCGCTACAACCCCAGCTACCTGGAGCCAGAAGTGAAAAAGGAATTGCATGAGAAGCCTTTAGAGGAGCTGACTGAGGAGGAAAGGGAACAAATGGAGCTTAAGGCGGTTCGACCCATCAAAGCTGCTCCTCCCAGCCTCTCCAGTTCCGTGTTCAGCGACCCCATGATCAGGTCAGAGGAAGCAGCAGCTCCTCCTCTCTCCAAAAATGCCTGGGAGCTGTGCTGCCCTCCTCTGCCTTCACCTGCTGCCTTCACATTGCCTTTTGTTAGAGCACAATCCCTATATTCTGGGTTAATCTTTTCCCATCAATGAGTCCATTGTTCTGCAGTAATTAGCGATAATTACAGCAGATCTGGCAGCACCCACACTTAACCATGGGAACAACACAAAGGGATGGGGGGCTTATTTCTGTGGGTGATAAAATCAGACAGAATTCATATCAGATCCTGGCTTTGTGTTTACAGTAAATTCACCAATATGATGATGAAGAGTGGAAATAAAGTGCTGGCCAGAAGCCTCATGTCTCAGGTAAGAACTCAGGTTTCTTTTCACTATTGCGTTAAAACAAGACAAAATAGAAGGCTGGGATGTGAAACCCACTGGAATTGGGAATTACCAGAACTCGGGTGGTCCATCTCTGTGCTCCTGATGTGTTTCACTCTGCCACACGTTGCTTGCAGCATGATGCCTCTGATAAACCATGATTTGTGTGATAAAATGTGCATTGCCATGGCACAGCTTTGAGCCTGCCCTGACCCACAGCAACTGGTTTTAACTGGTGTTGCCATCTGGCCTCTTCCACCCATGAACTCTCTTGAAATGGAAACATTTTGCCCAAGTGTTTCCAGTTAACTGCTGATTCCTGGTTTCAGAAAAGCACACAGGCTTTGCAGGGGGGGATGCTCAGTGCCCAGACCCCTGTTCCTGCCTCCACTTTGTCCCTGCCCTTCCCTGGCTTCTGGCCCAGGTTTGTGCTGCTCATCCCCCTCACCCAGAATGCAATGACTGATAAAAGAAGAGCTGGAAGAGGGTGAAGTAAAACTTGAGTTAAAGAATTTCCAGTGGGTCTTTTGCCTCTGGGGCTGGTGGACCAGCTGCTCAGATGAAAATGGGGTGCCTGTAAAAGTGATGTAACCTCATGGAGCAGGAGAATCTATCTGCCCTGAATATCTTCTTTCTTGCCTTTCTTCCAAGACTCTGGAAGCCATTAAAAGGAAGCAGCTGGAGAAGTACCACAAAGCTCCAGAAAATGAGAAGGAGACAATTGAATGCAACCCCTACGTCATTTTCCACCAGGCTCTCAAGAACTGCCAGCCCATCATCGGCCTCAGCAACATCACCAGAGGAGGCAAAACCTACCAGGTGAAAGGGGGGCTGGGAGCACATCTGGTTGTGAGACAATTAGCTGGGGAGGCAAATGAATTGGTTTTCACCCCATTAGCTCAAGATTATCTCTCCTTGGAAAGAGCCACTTTGCAGTCTGGACTAAAACAGCACCTAGAAACTGTCCAAAGTCAGGATCCCCTGAGAATTGTGCTTCCCCTGTCACAGAATCACTAAGGTTGGAAAAGACTACTAAGATCAATCAAGTCCAGCCATTAATCAGCAGCAGTCTCTGGTTCTCTGACTAGATGTGAAGAGAAATACACAGCAAGTATTTTCCAAAGAGACAGAGATCAGCAGCAAAAGAATTGGTGGTCTTTGGAGTACCAGTCCCATCCTTTCCACTGCACCATGTTGCTTGGGGAGAGGTCCCAAACACCTGGGGCAGGTCAGCATGGCAAAATGGGTCACCTAGATCCAGTGGGATATTTAAAACATGAGCACAATCTCTCTGAGTACAGGCTCTGCAGCCCTTGGGGCCTGAAGGAGAGGTGAGATGTAGAGGCACTTGGAATGAGATGATCTTTAAGGTCCCTTCCAATCCAAACCTTGCTGTGATTCTGTGACTTCTCTATTCAGTGCAGAGATGGGGTGACCACTCCCACCTTTGCTGACTCAAACCAGCCTGCACCCAGCTCCCACACAGGCCAGTTTCCATTTTGGTGGCAGCGGCCAGTTCCTATGGACAGAGCAGGAGAACTGGCAGGGCTGAGCTGTCAGGAGCTGCAGAGAGCAGCACAGGGAACACCTGCAGGTGCAGCTGGTGCTGTGTGGCTGCTGGGGAGGAGCAGGTTGCTGCTAACTGCCATGGGTTAACCCTTTCAGGTGCCCGTCCCGCTGACGGACAATCGGAAGCGCTTCCTGGCCATGAAGTGGTTGATCACAGAGTGCAGGGAGAACAAGCACCGCCGCACGCTGATGCCAGAAAAGCTCTCCCAGGAGCTGCTGCTGGCCTTCAACAACGAGGGGCCTGTCATCAAGAGGAAGCATGTCCTGCACAAGATGGCAGAGGCCAACCGGGCGTACGCCCACTTCCGCTGGTGGTAGGGACCCCGCACGGGACACGCTGCCACGGCCTGCAGAGCACAGCCCCAGGGCTGCCAGCCTGGGAGAGGGCAAGGTGGGATATCCCTTGCAGGCAGCTTCTGTTCTAACCCAGGGAAAGCTGACACGATCCCCACGAGGTTTTCTTTGTGCTTGTTTGGATGGGGGAATGTGAGTTAGCAGCGTCAGCGAGGCTGCTCCAGTTAGTTCATAACTGCTTCCCTGTGAAGACAAGCCTTAGATGTTTTTCTTACAGCAACGCTAACGAAACCATCTTTCACTTACCTGTTTCCTGGGGATCTGAAAGTCTCTCCTCCTCAAATCAGCAATGTTTTTGGATGCAGAGCTAAAGCAGAGCTGGATCCTTTAACACATGGATTGGTACAACAGGCAGTAAAAGGCCCTTTTTGATTTTGGCCATCAGCAACGTGGCCTGCACAGATTTGATGGGAATGTTGACAAAATAAAACCACTTTTATGGGAAAGGTTTCCCAATTCCAGACTTTTGTCTCTGTTGCTCCAGGTAGCCTGGTTGTGTAAAGCCCTGAGGCCCTAGACTGGAGCAAACACTGAGTTATCTCAGCCTTAGGGCTTCAGCCAGGAGCAACCCTTCAGTATTCCTCAGAGCTCAGCAGCTGTGCAGGGAGAAAGCAGGGCATACATTAGTGGAAAACTTTTATTAGAAAAAAATCCTTCAATAGACTATTTTGTTTCATTTCTTTCTCTCACATTCTTATAAGAAATATACTATAGCTGAAACTTGCAAATTTTGGAAAAAAGTGACAGTTATTGTATAAAACCTATAAAACCCTTCCTACGTGTGCTCAGGGACCTCTTCTGTCACAGGCTGCCCTGTGGCAGGTATTCCTGGCTGTGGAAGAGGCTGTGTGCATGCAGGTGCAGCCAGCCTGCTGGAAGCAGTCAGGGAAAAGCACTTGGTTGAGCTGTTTGTGAGGCCATGGTGTGTTCTGTGACCTGTCCCAGAGAACCAGGTACAACCTGAGCTGGGAGATTTCCCTGCTGCCTCCCACAGCTCTGCTGGCTTTGGGGTGAAGCAAAATGTTCTCAGCCTAAACTGTGCTTTCTTTAACGCTCATAGAAAATGCTGGTGTGAGCTACAAGCCTCCCAAGCCCTTTGCTGACAGCAGCCCAATATTAAGACAAAATCAGTGAGAGAACTTGCTGGGTGAAGTGTGCCCTTCCCACCACTCTGAACCTCCAAAGTCAGACCAGCACCTGCTGCATCTGACAGTAGGTGCAGAGAGGCTCTAGCCAGTCTAAATCCTATTTACAGGGAGTGCTAGAAAATTAATGCAAAAAATTCCAGATTGGTACGAAGCTTGCTGGTGAAGGTGCTGGGGATGCCTCTGCCTCGAGAGGTCAATCTGTCACTTCACTGTAATAATATTTCTGGGCAGCGTCCGTCATCTTCCACTCGGCAGCCCGGAACTCGATGATCTCCAGCAGCAGGAGCTGGGACAGGGAGCTGAGCCCCTCCTGCAGAAGGAAGCCATCTCGGAGGAGGGAGAAGAGCTCATCCATGCGCTGGGAATTCATCTTCTCCAGCTGCTCCCCGATGCGGTGCAGCTGCAGGACCAAGCAGTCCACCTTCAGAAGGAAGAGCAGGTGGCTGAGCACAAAGCAGTGGAGGGTCCTCTGCACCCCCCAGGCTGTGCTTTTTACAGGTCCTTGGCAGGACAACAGGCATAGCAGCAGCTCTGCCTGCACTCACCTCCTCCTCCTTCTGCAGGCTGTCGGGCTGTGCCAGCCTGAACAGGCAGTCGTACACAGGGTTCACCAGAGCCATCATGGGCATGTTGTTCACCTGCAAGGAGAGTGGAGCATTGTCAGCCTGGGGCCAGAAGGGAGTCTGCAGCTATTTTAAATAGTTATTCCCTTGCTGCTCTCCCAAGGAGAAGGGAACAGGATTTAGTTGTGCTGTGTTAGTGGGATTTTCATCAGAGATCAGACATTTGAGTCTCCAGGAACCAGAGGAGCTGAACAAATGATGTAAAAACCATCTATTTTTAAATGTAAGCAGGTAGTCATGGGAAATACACTTGTTCCAACAGTATTTTTCCTGCCTGCAGCTCTACTTGCATCACTTTTACATCTACTCCAAGCAGGAATTCAAAGTTCACACACTGCACAAAAGCCTGAAGCCAAACTCCATCAGCAAACCCCACAGCAACTGAACCAGTCCAGTCTGGGACATCTGGGAGCAGGCAAATCAGGGGATTTCAAACACCAGGTACAAAATGAGGAAGATAAGACTTTGTGACTGTTCCTGGAGACTTCCTCTGCCTCTTCAAGCCTGTAGATAGCACCAGCTCTGTCAGCATCCTTGTTCTAAGAACCAGCTCTGGCCCCTGGGGCTCTGTACAACACCCACCCAGCACCCCTGCTCTGGTATCCTAGGATGCCCAGGCCCTCCTGGCACTGCAGGCAGCAGCAGCCAGCTGCTCCAGCTCCTCACCCTCAGGTAGTCGAAGATGTTGCAGATGAAGGTGACGTAGCAGATCCAGGCCTGGAGCGAGCGGCTGCGCAGCTCCTCCCTGTCCTTGTACTCCTGCTGCAGCCGGTTCAGCAGGCTCCTCCGGAAGATGCTCTGGCCAACTTGTTTGCTCTCTGCCTGTAAGCCCACAGAAACAGCATGGAGGGATGAAACAGGGGTGCCAGAGGGGAAGGGGGATGCAGTACCACACAGACAACCTTCTGTGATTCCCAAAGAGGCAGAAAAGCTGCAACATGCTGCCTGTGCTGGCCCACTGCTCTTCTGGATGCTGCCACTGCATAGGGCAGGTGGCAGGACAGGAGAGATGGGCAAGGGGTCAAAGCATGTGACTGGGGCAAAGCCCTTCCTGGCCCAGCCCAGGGACAAGCCACACAACAGCCCAGGTGTTTCACTGTCCAGACAGGAGCTCTCACCTGGATGATGGTGTAGCAGATGCGCCCAGCCTCCTTGCTGAACACAGAGTCTTTGAGGGACTGGTCCACTATAATATTGGCCACTTTCTCCAGGTCCACATTACTGGGGTCTGCAGAGAAGAGGAATGCTGTTAGGACCCAGCCCTCTTTCGCCCCTGATTGCTTTGAGGCACCTGGAAAGCAGCCAGGGTCTGTGCAGGGCCCAGTGGAGTCACATTAAATGGTGCAGAAGCCGTGCATGGCAGAGGAGCTCATAAAAACCTGCTGACCTTTGAGGGCTGTTTTCAGCAGCTTCTGAGTCTCGGAGTCAAAGGACTGTATTTTGTACTCTTCTTTGCCTGTTTCCCCCATGACTGGTTTCCTCCAAGGGCAAGAGTCAGGGCAGTGGATGAGCTAGTGACAGTCCCTGGGGAAGGAGCACACAGAGCTTAGTTGGACAGAGGCAAACCTTCACCATTTCCCATTCGGCACACCCCTGGTAGTGCTGAAGCACAGACTGTTTCCTGACAGCTCCCCACCCCAAGGAAACTCCTCTTTTATTAGGGCACCAACTCTACCTCTGGATCTATGCAAATCCTCATTCCCACATCTTTTAAAGCCTTGTCTCCCTACCAGCTGATGGTAGAACTTCAGAGCCTTTATATTTTTCTGATATGAGAAACGTTACAGGCAAAGCAGACCCGAAATATATGTGGCTGTATCACAGGAAGGCACACACTGCTCTCTTAGGCCTTTTAAACACCAATTCAGCAGCTTTCGCACAAAAATCTGGGAAGAATCAAAGCCAGCACAAAATCATCCAACACACCCGCCAGAGCACCTCTCCTGCACCAGCCAGGCTCTCAGCTCCCAGCACGACACAGCAAACTCAGCAGCCAAATCCCCAACAGCAACAGCTCCCATCTCTCTCATCTCCCTGCAGCAGCACTGCTCTGCAGCACTAGCAGTGCTCCTAAGTAGTCTCTAGATTGATTTTCTTCTGCTTCATGATATAGTGAAGACAGCAAGAGGGTATGCACGGCACAGAGAGGAAGGGCTTGCTTTGATTCACACAGGATCTGATGGATGGGAACGCAGGGCTGGCCAGACTGGCAGTACAGGAGAGGGCAGTCGGCCAAATGAGTTTTGCAAGCTCGTCGAAATTCCTGGGCCATTACTCACCCCTCTCTGCAAACAGGTCCCTACCCAGATCAAAGCCCAAGAGCCTTTAGGGGCATGGGACATGTAGCGTGGGCAGCCCCCTCACGTACAGCAGAACAGGAACTCAGAGCAGAGAACAGCCCCATGGGGCGACCACCTGCCGACGCTGCTCTCACAGCCAAAGCTCTCACCCACCCTGGGACTGAGTCAGCCAGGTCCCAAGGTTTCTTTCCCAGGTGGATTCACAAGCAGCCGGGTGCCCTCCGTGCCATGCCTGGTTGGCAAACACCTTCCTAGCTGACCTCTCCTCTCTCTGCATCTGCACTCATGCCATGCTGCACTGCCGGTGGAGCAGCCCGAGGTGACCAGAGCCGCGTGTCCCACGGGCAGCATCTCCACGCAGCGGGAAGCGCCCGAGCCCGTCTGGCAGCGTCTGTGCCGCCGCCCGGCCCCGCTCCCGGAGCTCCCGGGGATGGCCACGGCTGCTTTGAACTGCTGTGCCAAATAACCCTGCCAGAGCAACCCACAGCGTGTGAACGCCGAGCCAGCCAGGTCTCACCTGCTCTAGAGACCCCCCTGCCAGCACTACCTTATCGGAAGGGCTGATGGCAGTGGGTGGCATGGAGCACCTGTGGTACCGACTGCTCCTCTGCCGCTGGCCCCGGCTGGACGAGCCGTCCCGGGGCTGACTCGGTTGGGGTCAGCACCCTCAATCTGCCGGTTATCCACCAGCTCAGGTGCCAGGGCACCTGTGACCTGCAGGGTCACACCTGGCAGTGTGGGCTGGACAAGTCCTGCCCACTGCAAGGAGAGGGAGAAGAGCAGATTCTCCTCTGCCACCCCATAGTGTCTGCCCCAGGGGCTCCACCAGCCCCCGGGACCCCCATCCCATCCCCGCCCAGCCGCAAGTGGAACTCCCAGCGTCGAGACGCCTCTAGCCCGGGGCAGCTGGACCACCGGAGCCGCAGGAACCCCCGCCGCTGCCTCCCGGCTCTCCAGCCCCGCGGCTGGCACAAGCCCCAGGGCCAGCGGACGGAGGAAGAGGCGGATCCCGGGCAAAGCAGCCCCCGCGCTGCCCCGGGCAGGGCAGGGGGAGCCGGGCGCAGCCCCACCGACCTGCCGGCCGCCCCCGCTGTGTCCTCCGGCCGCCGGGACATCGCCGGCACCTCCCGAGCCCCGCGCCCTCCCGGCACGGCCCAGGTTTCCTCTTAGGTCATTTCCTCGCCCGAGCCGGGGGAGGGCCGGGCCGGGCCGGGCGGGAGAGCGGCGGCAGCCGCGGCAGCGCCACCGCCTGCGAGCGTCGGGGCACGGCGGGGGGGGGGGCCGGGGGGGGCGGCGGCCCCCCCGGGAAAACAGCGGGCACCGCGGGGCGGGAGACATGGGTGTGCTGTGCTCCCCTCACTGCTGGGATCGGGCTGTGCTGTGTGCTCCCCT